AATCGCCATACTGTTTTCCATAATGGGGTTTTCTAATATAAACTCTGTTATAAAATCATAATGGAGAGAGAACGGAGGGGAAGAGAGGGATGAGGGGAAAGAGAGGAAGGAGAAAGAGATATAGAACGTCAGAAGATACCAACTGTGAGGGATGACCCACCTGTTATCCCAAGACTGTGTGCTGTAGCAGGGACAGCAGATGTTTAATGGCCAGGAAATTTGGGCATTAGCTCTGCTCCCGTGTGATCTTAGACAAAATACTACTCTTTTCTGGGCTGCAGTCTGCCTGATTAAAGTGGGTTAATGCTAAGGTTCTGCAATTCTGAGACTTCCTTCCAGGGAAGAGAGGAAGTTTCCTTACAGCCCTTCCTCCCTTCCTTCCTCCCTCCCTTCCTCCCTCCCTTCGTTCCTTCCTCCCTCCCTCCCTCCCTTCCTTCCTCCCTTCCTTCCTTCCCTCCCTCTCTCCCATCCTTTTTTTTTTTTTGGCAAACTCTTACTCTGTCGCCCAGGCTGGAGTGCAGTGGTACGATCTCGGCTCACTGCAACTGCCTCTCAGGTTCAAGTGATCCTCCTCCCTCAGCCTCCCGAGAAACTGGGATTACAGGTGCACACCATCACGCCCAGCTAAATTTTGTATTTTTTGTAGAGACGGGGTTTCACCAAGCTGATCTCAAACTCCTGACCTCGGGTAATCCACCCGCCTCGGCCTCCCAAAGTGCTGGGATTACAGATGTGAGCCACCTTTAAGCAAATTTGAACCCTGTGATCTGGTCTTTTAATAGTTAGGAGCACTGATCTCTTCTGCCTTTTACAGACAGTATGACGATGGGTGAATTCTGGACCTGCTCTGAGTCTCATCTTCTCCCTCTGTAGCATGAGTGCAATAGGACTTTTCTCAGGGCTGTTGTCAGGATCATGTAATTGAGATTGTGAGCTGTGATAGGTACTAATTGAACAATGAAATATAGGAAAATTGGAATCATTTCCTCAGCCGGGTACCTCTCCCCACATGGTTCCTGAGAGAGGCATATGGCTGGGAATAATGACACAAAATAAACGAACTTTTTCATCCTTTGGCTTTGGCCCCACATTCCCGGAGACTCCTGGTGCACTATACCGGACTAAGCGGTGAATTTCCTTTGTCTAGGATAGGGCAGCCTAGGACCTGAATCAATGCAAACCGTGCCTTCTTCAAGAGGAAGTGTGCACAAGAGAAGGAGATAGCAACTCCTGGACCTGGTTTAGCTCATCAGCCAGTGCTGGGTAGAGCGTGCCTAGAAAGAATGCTACTTGTAGGGGAGCAAATCCTTAACCTTTGGCTCATCTTGGTGTAAATTTCCTCCGGTAACCTAAAACAGTGTCCTTGGATTTGGCCAGTTCTTGACATCATCACCTTCCCCTTAGAGAGTGGAGACTCCTTCCTTTTGAGAGTTCCAGACTCAGCTACATGAAGTAATATAACCCTTTGGAGAGCAATCTAGGAAAACAAAACTGAAGATGCTCGTGCCCTAAGAACAAACACCATCTCGTCCAATTCCGTTCTTGGATATATCCAGAGCAAGTGATTCCTTTAAACTTTATTGTAGAAATAGAAAGTCATTATATTTGTAGGACACTCTGAGTTTCCTGCTCCCAGCAGAATGCAACTGGCTGGAATCTCTCCAGATGCCTTAGATGGCTCCCATCAGGCCATCCTGAGTACTGAGGAGATTAAATCTTAGCGTATCTATAACCCATTTTTTTTTTTTAATAGAGACAGGGTCTCACTTTGTTGCCCAGGCTCTTTTGAACTCCTGGACTCAAGAAATCCTCCTTTTTTTTTTTTTTTTTTAAATAGAGACAGGGTCTCACTATGTTGCCCAGCGTGGCTTTGAACTCTTGGGCTCAAGCAGTCCTCCTTCCTGGGCTTCCCAAAGTGCTGGGATTACAGGCGTGAGTCACCACGCCTCGCCATCTGTAACCCATTTGTACCACCTGGAGTAAAACTAGTTTTACTAGTTTTTTCTAGTAAAACCTAGAAATAACTCTGAGGAAATTACATCAAAAGACAAATGAAAACAAAAAGAAAAAGGAATATAACCAAAATATTCATCAACGATGGAATGGATTAATAAAGCATGATGTAGTCATGTGGTAGAGTACTATACAGTACTGAAAAGGAAGAACAAGAACTCATGTATCCATATGGATGGCCCTCTCAAACCCTGTTGATCAAAACCACAGTTGCAGAAGTATATACAGTATGATGCCGTCTAGTTAAAATTTTGAAACAATGCTATTTGTTGCTTAGGGATACTTACATAAATATTAAAATATGTAGAAAAGCATGAAAATAATAAATACTAAGTTCTAATTAGTTACCTCAGGAGGCCTAAGAGATTAGAGACACACGTGGGATACCTTGATGTTGCCAAATATTCTTTCTTTTCTTTTTTTCTTTTTTGTAGTGGTGTGATTTCAGCTCACTCTAACCTCCACCTCTCAGGTTCAAGCTATTCTTGTGCCTCAGCCTCCTTACTAGCTGAGATTACAGGCGTGCACTACCATGCCCGGCTAATTTTTGTGATTTTAGTAGAGATGGGGTTTCGGCATGTTGCCCAGGCTGGTATCGAACTCCTGGGCTCAAGTAATTCACCCACCTCGGCCTCCCAAAGTGCTGGGATTACAGGCATTAGCCACTGTGCCCAGCTGACAATTGTTTCTTTCTTTTTCTTTTCTTTTTTTTCTTTTTTTTTTGAGACGGAGTCTTGCTCTGTCGCCCAGGCTGGAGTGCAGTGGCGTGATCTCGGCTCACTGCAACCTCTGCCTCCCAAGTTCAAGTGATTCTCCTGCCTCAGCCTCCTGAATAGCTGGGACTACAGGCGCATGCCACCACGCCCAACTAATTTTGTATTTTTAGTAGAGATGGGGTTTCACCATGTTGGTTAGGCTGGCCTCGAACTCCTTACTTTGTGATCCTCCTCTCTCAGCCTCCCAGAGTTGCTGGGATTACAGGCATGAGCCACCGCGCCCGGCAAATTGTTTATTTTTTGAGGTGATAGATACATGGATACATGTTGATTATACATTATACATACTTTGTTATTTGTTAGATAGAAGAATTACTAAAAATTAAAAATGAAACATGCTGTGAGAGAGTAGTTCAAGGTGAGGCTGGAGAGTCAGATGGTGGGTTGCCTGTAGGGCCATTTTAAAGTGTGACTTTCACCTAAGGCCAGAAGGAACCAGCCAGTGAAAGGTTTTATTTTTATTTTTATTTATTTTATTTTAGGTTTTAGACGTGAGAAATAATCTCATAATATTAACACTCAGAACATCACTCCTGCTGCAGCGTGGAGACTGGATTTGGGTAGAATGACAGTAGGACGGGAAGAATACTTAGAAAAAGTTTCCTCTTTGAAACACCACCTTCTCTAGGCCTCCAGATTGTTTCTTCCTTCCTAGTTCTCCCCTTACCTCTCTGGCCATGCCCCTTTATCTCCATCTCTAATGAGTCTTCCTCCCTCCCTCCCTTCCTTCCTTCCGTCCTTCCGTCCTTCCTTTCTTCCTCTCATTCTGTCGCCCAGGCTGGAGTGCAGTGGTGCAATCTCAGCTCACTGCAACCTCTGCCTCCTGGGTTCAAGCGATTCTCATGCGTCAGCCTCCTGAGTGCTGGGATTACAGGCGCCCGCCACCACACCCTGCTAATGTTTGTATTTTTACTAGAGACGGGGTTTCACCATGTTGGCCAGGCTGGCCTCAAACTCCTGACCTCAAGTGATCTGCCTGCCTTGGCCTCCCAAAGTACGGGGATTACAGGCATAAGCCACCGCATCCAGCCTCTCCAGCCCTTTAAATATTGCTGTTTCCCACGGTATTTCTTTTTTGCTCTCTTTTCTTCCCAATTTTTAGTTATATGCCTTGGTGATCTCATTATGTCCCGCATTCATCTACCACCTTTATGCTCATGATTCTCAAGTTTATTTCTCCAATCCAATCCTTTCTTCCAGCTCCAAGCTGCCTACTAGACATTTCTTCTTGGCTATCTCATAATTAAACAAAATCCAGCATGTCCAAAATGGAGTTATTATCCTTTCTAAATATGCCTTTTCCTTCTGCCTTTAGGATCTTGGTTAACCATATTGCTATCTATCCAATTATCTGATCCAGAAAATAGGTATTATTGTAGACTCTTCTGTCTCAGTCAACTTGCTTCTTTAATTAGTTTCCATGTTAGAAATGCAGGGTAAGGGCCAGTCACAGTGGCTCACACTTGAAATCCTAGCACTTTGGGAGGCTGAGGTGGGAGGATCCCTTGAGCCTAGGAGTTTGAGACCAACCTGAGCAACGTAGTGAAACCCCATCTTTCCCAAAAAAAAAAAAAAAAAAATTAGCTGGGCATGGTGGCATGTGCCCATAGTCCTAGCTATTTGGGAGGCTGAAGTGGGAAGATTGCTTGAGTCTGGGAGGTCAAGGCTGCAGTGAGCTGCGATTGCACCACTGCACTGCTAAGCAATAGAACAAGACCCTGTCTCAAAAAAAAAAAAAAA